CATTGAACACCTTTGGGATGAACTCGAACATCGTATGAAGAAACATCAACCAAAAAATGAAAACCAGCTTCGAGATATATTACAAGTTGAATGGCTTGAAATTGGTCAAGATATAACAAATAAATTGGTTGAATCAGTTCCAAGTCGTCTACACGAGTGTTTACGTATGAAAGGATATCCAACTCGATATTAAATTTGTAAATTTTAGTACTTCTTATCCGAAAATACACGTTGTCGTTTACTTGTTGGATAATTTTGGTACAGCGAAAAATCATATATGTTTATTGTTTTTTTAATCAAAATCGAACACATTGAAAATTTTTTTTGAAATTCTCCACATATATACTAGAGACTATGGACAATAAGATAGTAAAACTAGAACCACTTTATGTCGCTTAGTTATTGAAATATTGAGAAAACAAAAAATCTCAGCTTACTTGTTGGATAATTTTGTTACCCACTGTATTTGAATTCATTGGAGTAAGCATCTTATAAATTCGAAAATGGTTCAACTTCAAATATATTCTTCGAAGGTCCCACATTGACAAATTAATTAACATTAAAAAAATTTTTTTTTCAGTTTTTTTGAAAATAATAACTGGATTTTAAGCTTAACTCTCGTTATTCTGCAGCTGGATATACTTGTAACTGTCAAGGAAATATGCAGCAAAGACACACCTATGCAAAAAATACGTTTTCTGCTTTATCAAATATCATTGAGAGAGGAGTGGTTGCTTAAATATGGGCTAAATTAATTTATAACTCATAGGATATGTTTATAACTATTGTAAAATAAAAAAAAGTTGCTTGTGCTTTTATTTTTTATCTTACTTTTTCTCTTCATCAAAACAAATTTTTATTTTGACTGAGATTTATGTCTGACGAAAATAAAATTTCAATTTTGCCTAGACGAAATCAGAATTTCAATTTTGACTAGTCAAATTTAAAATTTGACTGAATTTTAATTGTGACCACAACATATATATATATATATTATTTTTATGCAAAAATAGATAAAAGCAACATTCTTTTTATTCTACGATTAAAGTGAGAGGAAAGAAAAGTAGAAGTGATTCATTTGCCAACGTATGATTAATTTAATACAAAAACAAGAAAATATTTTGCTACTGGAATAGTTTTGTATTATGTCTCCTGAAACAAGTATAAATGATTTGTATCAAACATTTATAATGAATCCTAATAAACAAAATCAATATCAAATTCGCAGAATGCTTGAAACTGATGTTGAAACAGTAGTTAAAATCGAGCAAATTACATGGCTTGATCAAGCATGGTCTTCTCAACAGTTTCTCGATTTTGTTAATTATCCACATTGGAAGTGTTGGATACTTGAAAGTACTCACAATGATACTTTAGTATTTGGATATGGTCTTCATTATATCGACAACCATGTATCACATATAGCGAATATATGTATTGATCCTTATCAACGTGGTCATGGGTTAGGTGGAATACTTTTACAATATATGATAGACTATTCTCGTCGACTAGGTGCGTCAACAATTGAACTTGAAGTAAATACATCAAATATAAATGCATATAGATTATATTATAAATATGGTTTTCGAATAGTTCGATCTCTTCCTCAATACTATGGCAAATATGGAGATGCTTATCACATGGTACTTGCAATATAAGTAATTTGAATGTATAGCGATATTTGTGTCACATTTTCCATTTATAATTATAACATTTTCTGTTTCTTTTTTCGTTCTTTTGTTTATTATAAGAAAATAAAATGAAACTGTACGTTGGAAAAAGCCAATTCAGCTATTGTTAATATTTACACTAAATATAAGTGAAATGAGTAAATCTTTAAGAATATGGTTGGTTACAAGTAATGCTGTTGAGAAGATTGTTATTAATTCACATGGTTATAATGAAAATAAAAATAAGTGAATATAAACATAAAACATATTTACTTAGCATATACAACATTCTGTTCAGTACTGAAATTATGAAGAATGCCTTAAATTGTCATTCTTTTTTCTATATTATTCATTAATCATTTTCATAGATTGAAAGAAGATAAAACTCGTATGGAAACTTTCATTAAGGCAGAATAATTTTATTTAAATCTTTTCAATGAATGCCATCCAAGTCGATTTTAGTCCGATTTATCAAATCTTCTCAATTTTATACATTTCGTTTATTACTAACTACCTGGTCTCCGATTGCGATTTTTTTAAATTATAGGAATCCTTAGAGGATCAAGTTTGTCTAAACTATAGGATTTTCGATAAAAAATGATAAAAATATAGGATTTTTTATTGATCGTTTCTGTTCATTTGTTTTGGTGATTTTTTTTACTTCTCTGCTCAAATATCGTTTAATGAAGCTGTTTACAACAGCTCAACCATAATCAAGTTTCTTATATAATATCTTTGTACTGAAATAAGTCACTAATTCGAGAATCATTATAGAGTTTAATTATAAAACATTTTCACCAATCATAAAATAACAATAAAGTAGATTATAAACTTTGAAAAAATAAATACGTGACAAAAACAAATACTATTTCTCATAATTAAATTTGAATTATATGAGTAAAACTTGATTATAAATAGACAAAAACACTTGAATAATAATCATTTAGTATTATCTATCAAGTCCATCATATTATGTTGATTCTATTGGATGGATTTTAGCTTCTTGGTGATAGATTGTTCATGAAGAAAAGCATCTTTTCTTTTTAATCGAAGCTTATCGAATTCATTTGTAAGTTGTTGCTGTTGTTCATTAATTGATGTTAGTTTTTCACGACTTCCGACAATCAAAAGTGTAGCTGCATGTACTTCTGAAAAAATACCACTTTTCAATGCACCTTCTAATCGATTTGTTCCTTCTTCTATCAAATATTCAGCTTCCTTCATCTGATGTGCAAGATTTTTTTGTTTATCCAATAACACCTTTTCTTCTTCAAGATGTTGTTGTTTTTCATTTGGAATTATTTTGTTGTTGTTCTCCTTATTGTTATGAATAGCAACTGCTAATTTCGCAGCAATTAAACCTTCACGATAATTACTGGATGATTTCTTTGCCATATTAATCAAAATCTGTAGTTATATGTACCTGAACGATAAAATATGTTGTGATATAAAAAAAACATGATTTTATGTTACTTTATGTGCTGATTCATTGCCAAAAACTTTTACTGCATCATAAACTAATCTTAAACCATTTATTGATGATTCTGATAATGATGATCGATTTTCCGTAAGAATGTTCGAATTAATACTAAAACCTCTCTCAACATCAGCATTACCATGTGTAATAATTAAAACATTTTTTATTAGTTTAGTTAATGTTGGATACTTTGATATACCATTTTTTGTTAAAATTGAAAAGACGTTGTTCCAATAATAATCAATAGAGTGATATTTTATTTGATTATTACCATTTGAATCAACATATTCATCTTTAATATACCAAGACCGATCGACCAGTTCAACTGAATATAATGTCCATTCATTTTCTAGCTTATCAATCTCTCTATCATCAAGTAAATTGGGAATACTTCGAGCTATTCGAACAATTCGATCACCACTTGATTGATCAGTTCTAGATAAATGATCTAATACTTGTAAATCTCGTAATAGCATATTATTTAAAGGAAGATTTTTCTTCAGATAATTTGCAATCGTAATGTAAATCTTTCTAACATCTTGAAAAAAAGATTTTTTCTCGTCAAAATTAAGAGATGGTATTAACTTTCTTGTTTGTTCACCTATATTAAAGATAACAATGATTAATCAAAAAACTATTAATACAATCGAATCTACCAATTTTTATTTCTTTATCTGTTATCCATAAAGCAGATTGTTCAAAATTAATATTTAATAAATCTTGACCAGATTTTTGCTGAACCGAATCAGATTTCAAGAATGATAATAGAAGATTTCGATATAAATCATTGAGTTCACAATATAATAAGTGGATCAATGGTTCTTCACGTTAGAAGAAGGTCAAAAACGATAAAAAATATTTTCACATAAATGTAACACAAAATTGAATTTGACCTTTGAGAAATTTGATGATAAGACTAATTTGATGCTTTCATAACGTTTGTTTTCTCGAATTTGTACAGGTTGTTTTTCAGTCAAAAAACAAAGAAAATAATCACATAAAATATTCCATTGGTCTAAATAAAATGAACAATGTAGAGAAGTGAAAAAAGATCAACATACTTAAAATTCGATCAATAACTTTGCCTAATAAAATCCATCGTGTTATTGAAAAATATAGAATGGTTTTTTCCATAACAGAGTCAATACTATCACTAACATTTTTATAAACTTCTTGTCTTGCTGGAGAACATTTAAACCAAGAATAAAGATCCAAACAGAAACTGTCCACATACCATTTAGAAGACAGAATACCATTTTTAAAAGCATTGTGTATGACATGGATGTTACAGCTTCCAATCGTTAATAAACAACCGCCTAGTTTTTTTATTTCCACATCCATTAAATTTTCAAGTGAAATATTAATGTTGGGATTATCTCTTCCTAACATTAAAAGTTTATTTAGATTCAATCCATCAGTAGCAAATGATTCAATAATTATATCACGAATTGTTTTTGCATAAGCATGGCCTAATATAACTGATTTATAAAATCGATTAACAACACATTGTTTTTTATTAGACCAATATCTTAACAACATATCCAATTGTCTTTTGTTTTGATTGTTCGTCTGTTCATCAAATATAAGGACAAATTTATCGGCTTTTTTAACATCTTCGATTACTTTTTTCTTGAAATAAGGACCCAACCCGTGTGATATAACATAAGACATTTTATCAGCTTGAATACTAAAGTTTCCAACAATTGCAGAATCAGGAAACATTGATGAAAACAATTCATTTAATTCATTACATGAGTTATAACTTAGACCTTTATGAGCAACTTTTAACGACCATAGAATTTCAGCTTTTGTTACTTGATCATCTAATGTTAAAGGTTTATTTTTGTTTGTATTTGTATCTAATACTGGAATACCACTAGAGGTCGATGTAGATGAATCAGCTGAATCTGGTCGTGTTTGATTTGTTACACGAAATTTGGCATTCTGTTTCCATTGACGTAATATTTCTTTATGTTTATTAATATTCATATGTTGTTCTATTGCTTTCCAACCTTGATTACCACAACTTAGATCACCTGTTTGACATAAGCTGCACTTGAAAGCTGTAGATGTGGAGCCCTTCTTCAACCATGTGTTTACCGAATCGTTGTTGGAATCAACTCGATGAAGCCAATCTGTATTGAATTTTGTTAAATTTCTTGGCATTATATTTATGAAATCAAAGACGAGGAAGTTAAGTGTACGATACGATGAAGAAACGAGTATTTAACTGTCCTTTATTCGAAAAAGAGGGAGTATTTATGCAGGGGAGAGATAAATAAATGAGCTAGGGAAACAGTCGAGAAGTTTCTTTGTCTTTGTTTTAAATAATGAACAATAAGGAAAATTAAAACAATGATTCTTCTTATTCAGAGAAGACGTCGGTTAGAAAAACTAAGTCAAACGAATAAGAACATATGGAACAGTAGGACAGAAAAGAAAAGAACAGAACAAGAACATACGTATAACAGCTGAACAGAGAAGAAAAGAAAAAGAACGAGGGCATATGTATAACAGCTGAATAGAAAGGAAAAGAAATTAGGGCAATATGCAACAGATGATCTATTAATTATTTTTTTTGATTCTACCTACCATAGTTTAGTTTTAAGTTCAAATAAAGAAACAATTTTCAAATGCAGAAAATTATCCGTGCAATATATATCTATGTGTATTTATTCTAATCACATGAATATACATCTATACGTATATAGACAACCATAAAACGTTTCGAATCGTTCATAATTATTTTATAAACGTTGGTGTAATTTTTTATATCTAATAAGTATTCATGGCATTAAAGAGTTTTTCATTTAGTCCCCTCACTGGATGAAAAGAAGCGTGGTCTTTTTAAGAAAGACGTTCTTATAATACGTACGGTCGTCGAAATAATTTGACTAGATTTTAAAATATTTGTTCTGTCGAAAAAAAGAATACTGTGTGCAATAGAATTCGCAGGTTTCAAACATTTCTTTGTCTTTTTTCAATAAAATATAGGTAAAATAGGAAAAGTGAGCTAAATATAGGATAAAATAAAGGATTTTTCAAAAATATAGGATTTATAGGAATTATAGGACGAATCGGAGCTCAGCTAACTACGGAACCACTCTAACTTTAAACCACTGTGTAAGCCTAATTAAGGCCGTTTTATTAAGAAAATCAAATAATGGAATTTCGACCTTAAATCTTGACTATATATAGGTGTAATGATCCTTTATTTATCCTGGAAATTTCAGCCGCAAAGAACAGAAATTCAATATTTCGAGAAACAAACATTCTTTTCGAACTAAAACTTCCAGGATATTCTAAGGATTATTGAGCTTATATAGGAACGAAATTTAAGATCGTTTTGCTTTATTCGGATTTTCCATAAATACCTAAAATGGATCAAAAATTCATTAAAACAACTATTAATCAGCTCTAATGGTCGAATGGGACGAACCCGTTTAAGTTTGTTCTAGTCTTATCAAAACCTGCTTATCAGTCCGATATGAACTCAAACAGTGAGTTACAGTTGGAGTAGTTTCTTCGTAAAAGCAATTTTTATTTATACAACAATTGTGATACTTATTTCACTTGTTGATGAAGCCTATTTCAAAACGCCGTATTATTTGTCTGTCTACAAGAAATGTGCATGTTGGTTCTGCTGCTCCTGCTGCATTACTATCACAATCGCCTCAGCGGAACGTTAGCCTTGCCTTGTCCAGGATTGGAGCGTAGCAGCAACAGATTTCCAATCGCGATGGCCATCTATGATGTCTGCTTTCGATTACTTATTTTTCAGTAATCACTAGAGGGTGTGGGTATGTGAGTGGAGGTATGGGTTGGCGTGTCCATGAAGAGATACTTACACTCACACCCGGAAATGGCGCTCCATTGGATCTCTGACAACAGGCTCGAATATGATTTCATATATTTGTTGCAATGAAGTTATTTTTGAACAAGCGTATGAGAAAGCTAATAGTTTTTGATTGAAATGATGTGACATATATTCAAAATTGAAAATGTATGATAAAGAGCAAATCGAGTTGTTGATGTGAAAGTGCGAAAAGAGTCTAAACAGCCAACTTGATAATTGAAGGCCAGAATTTACTTGAATAGATAAGTACCTTTATTTAAACTATGCATTCATATTTGAAATATAAGAATTGTATCTTATGTACAGCGTTATAGTTTTCTTTTATTATTTATTAAACTTTTCTAAGCTACATCATGGCCAAGAGAGATAAATAAGGTCGAGCACTCGCATGCGTAACTGCTCTATGACATAGCGTAACGAAAAAAGAACATTAATTTAAGGAATGAACTGCAGATACTTGAGAAAGTATTCGGACACTTAATGGAATTTTTTTTTCATATTATTTGATTTATGCAACGATTATAAAGAATAAATTTATTGCTTCATAATGAACAACTCAAATGTTCATTTTCATAGAAAATACAATACAAATTGAAAGCTATTACTTACTGAAAAGAGAACCTATTTGTTTTTGTCAAAGGAGAAATTTTGATATTTATACTTGTGGTACACGAAATGAAAAATACAAAAAAGATGCTGATCGATATTTAAATACTTTTTGGACTATCTACAAGGATTCGATAATTTTATCCATTATTCTCATTAATCAAGAGACGAAATGTCTTTGATGTTGCATCAAAAATAAATCATCATGATAGATAAAAAGTACTAAAATATTCAGAATTTTTATGATTCCATTCTATTAACGTTAAAATGTCATCATAGGCGATAATCACTATTTGTATAATGTGATTCTTCTTTGAAATAATGACTCATTTGAAAAAATTGAGTCATAGTATGATTTCGATTTCAGAGTCGTAGGAATGACGCTTAATTTAATGCGAGTCAATCGACATGATCGATATTAAAAATGAGGAAAAAGAGTTTACAGTAACAGCATAATCAAATTATTGATTCTTTTGTTATTGAAATGCTTCCCATATAGACGCGTTTGATAACACAACCGTGGCTGAGACAAGTCATGTAAATAGATAATGCAAAATAATGCGGCTGAAATGAAACATTTTATTGTGTCTAGAAATGTCTAACAATTAAAGTTTCAATCACATCTGAAAATAATGGTTTCAACTGCGTCTGGACGCATTCGTTCCTTACGTTTCAGACGCATTTATGTCACGAAAAATATTTACATGGGTAAGCAGAATAAGATTGTAAAGCTGCTTTAACATAATCACTAACATCAGAGAGGATAAGAAGAATTTTCAAGTGTTGAAAAAAAGATGAATAAAACGTGTGGTACTTCGACAGGTAATCTATGAAAAAAGCAGCAACTAGACATGATAGATAATTAGTTGAAGATATGAGTTGGTTATTTCCAAGTAAAAGTATGGAAGTCGTTGATAAATAAAAGAACAAAAGTTATTGACAATGACGATGCATAGTAATGGCTTGACATTGTAATATGAATTATTTTCTAGCAAAATTAAAAGAAAGAATTTCCAAAAGAAAAGTGAAGTAAACACTTCCTAGTCTCTCAATCAATCATTATTATATGCATATTACATTTGTGAGCGAAATGTCTTGAATGAAGTGCATGTTCTATTTTCACAAGAGTTTTTTTTTCATATTTCTATTCTGTGTTGTTAATTCGTGAAATGAAGTTTATGCTCATAAATTAGACTAAAATGTTTCTTCGTAGTATACTTTTAGTAGACTGTGATGACTTAATAGTAACGGGAACAGAAAAAGATTCATAATATTTCCATCATATTACAATTTGTCTTAGCTGCTATACTATACACTATTATTAATTGACAAAGACAAAGTATTATACATTGAAATGGAATAAATTTTAACATATCATCTAGAGATCATAATATTAAGTATTCTACTTGATTAGATAAATATGAAACATCTGAAAAGCAATATCTTAATATCAGATGCTACCGAAAGATAAATGACTTTAAGATTAATAAAGTTGAGAACGAGAAACAAACATCCGTTTAATAATCAACAAACAAATATTTCTCTTCAAGACAAAGTAAAGAACAAAATGAATCAAAATATCTATCTTATCATTAGTTTGTAGATCAACATATTTTAATTGGAAAAATTGTGACAAAAAATTATTCATCAATATATCCAAATTCAAAACTTAATTAAAAGAAAAAAATGAGGCTGAAATGCATCGACACTGAGCGCCCCCTTTATATATACATTAAAGAATAAGTCCAACTTTAGTGCAACATGGCGATGTTGTTTGTGTGTATCCACTTAAAAAATGTCATCCGTCTAAAAGTCTGAATTAGACATAAGTTAGAGTGCGAAGCACTGTACAGCGATGGTTCGGCATTCTCAACCTACGCATTCAAAGTCCATATTTTGTGACGTAATGATTTCGAAAACGGCACAACGCCTAATGCTCGTTGCCACGCTATTAGAGACTTTAAGATATCTATATGTCACAAAGTTTGTCTGATTTTCTTAATGATTTTTCGTGCGCTCAAAGTAAAATCCCGACATTACAATGAGCAGTTGTGGACATCTTTTTTTTAAGTAAATTATCAAGATTTTTTAGAGGACCACTAGTGTTTCAAGTCGTTGTGGTTAATCTTAAAAAAAAAATGAATAGAAATCGTCAAAGTTCTTCCTTGATCAAAGATTTTAGTATTACTTTAATTCGTTACCTTTTTTTATATATGAAGTCTAATTTATATACAACACTTTCAAGTAATTTAATCAAAAGAAAAGAAAATTCCATCGTTTGAATTGTCGAAAATCGTCCAAGTATTTGATTCTCATTTTTCTCAACTGATTTATAAACGGAATCACATAACTTTATGTTTCAATAAACGACTGAACATGTTTTAATGACAACTTTTTAGTTCATGACATAAGAATGAAATAAAATTACTTCGATCAAATAATAATATTTACAGAGATGTTTTGATGAGGAAGGGGGAGTGCGCGCCTCTGCTCTTTTAGAAAATTTTCAGTTTTTTCCAGCCAAAATCGTATTTTTTTATTTAGAAAAAAGATCATAAAATGAAAACCTCTGAATAGTTAAGAACAAAATCTAATGCAAAGGTCTGGTCACTATCAATAAGAAACTACGATCGCAAAACGGATCTTCTATCTACTTATGATGTTGTTGATGTTCATCTTAACATTGATCCGCTGATTGATCGAAATCTAACTCTTACGATTTACAATAAAAAAAATCGATTTCTGCTGAACGTTAGCATTATAAGGAAAAAAAGAGGTTCATGACATATAATACAAAAAGAAGTTGTTTCTCCTTTATTATACGTAACTTTTCGAAACTTAAGATTCGTCTTTCGTATCCTTTTCGCACTCTGAGCTCAGCAAAGGTGCCATCTCGTTCTTTAAGGACACTTTGGTCCAATAGATATTGATGCATTTTATTTGTTATCGTAATTGGACATGCGGCCAGTCAGCCATAAACACAGAACAAATGTTAATGTATTCAAAATCTGTTTCATGAAAAATGTTTCTAAATAATACTTTTTTAAATAATCGAGTAAACTTGGTAGCTTAAGATAATTCTTTTGTTCATTATTCTTCCCCTAAAATGACTTGATTTTCTCGAAATACATATGTGCGTGATATTATGTTTTTTAGCTTCAACTGATTAAGTAGTAAATTGTATTTTGTTCAAGATTTTTTATTTTTTTATAGATTACCTGTGTTCATCGTCTACTTTTTTTGAAAATATTTCTAACTAATAAAATAAATAAGTTGATGTTTACTGCTTTCAAATTATATTGTTTTATTCTAGATCATTTTCTTGAGGTTTATATCTTCACATTTATCATTAAAATTTTCATTGACTATTGAATTTAGTATACCAAGCAAAATTATTGTTGAAACGGATGTTATTAGATGTGAGCGATTATCACAGTTTGCACATGCTTATTGTATAATTAAAACATTCAATTATCCAGAAGATGTAAATAAGACTTGGTCCCTAATTTATTGTTTTTTACAATCTTAGTGATCTTCATATCTTCCAATCACTGCAGTATTTTCAAACATTTCTGAAATCTAAGATCTAATAAGCAGACGATAACTATTTTCAATCCTATTATTATATAATATTCCTGCCAATAGCAACAACATGTGAATTTTGTTTTATGTTTGATTTGCTGTTATATTTTTCTGTATTAGGTAAATGAGACTAATCTGATAACAACTAGCACTTTTTGCCTAGATGTTAATAATCCACAACGTATTTTGAGGGCAAGTGTTTTTTTTATTAAAAAACTTTATCTTATTATTCAGCATAATCCATTCGATTAAAATTTAATGTTTGGGAAGTTAGTTATATAATTAAAACTTGGAATATTTAATATAACTATTTAAATTATTTAATAGCCTTTTTTAGTAATTGTAAGTATTCCTTTTTCTTGTTAAATTATTTTCGAAAAATTTTGAATTTCCTGAACACAAAAATATATTTTACTTATTTCAGTTTTTCACCTTATCTCACAGTGGTTTTTTTTTCTAGATTGTATGTATATTACGAACATCTCTTCGTCACTAACTTTTTAAACAATTCTGGTATTTCGGTTGATTTACAACCTACACTAATTCTAGAAATGATTGCATATCTTATCAAAACATGTTGTAAAATTTTTTAAATTCTCTTTAAAGTATGTTAAGTTAAATTTGAAAAAAGAAACTGATGAGACAATAATATACAATTATTTCATCAAAAATATTTTCTTATTTCACACTATTCATAGCGGAACGCAGTCATTTTTAGAATTACTAGCTCATCGATCAGCTGAACCGTCTAAGCAAGATAGATATAAGACGCTCGAGTGTCTAAAATCGGTCACCCATTGATACTTGAAGCATCTAAATTAGCGGTAAATTAACTAATCAGAATTGACTCAAAGTGTCTTGAATAAGTGAACGAACCGTCTTGTCTATACACTCCATATGTCTTGACTTTTCAGATTGTCAATGTGTATGTAGTTTAGCTCAATCTAAACCGATTGTACTTGAATTATCAGTTAAAAACTACATATTTACTAGAAAATATTTTTTTTCCATTTAGGTTACAATATAATCGTGTGGAAACTTATGAAGGTAGTAATCATATCTCATTCTGCTTTTTTCTCCTTTCCTTTCACTTACGTATGCGACGATGATAAAATTAAAGAAGAAACACTGTTTTGTGATTCATTTTGTTATTTCTTATGGTAGATAAGAAAGTTTTACACCCATGGGCAAAAGTCTTTCTCCCTCTCATCTACTCCCCCAGCTCATTTTTCTTTGGGACGGGGAAAGACTTTTGACCAGGTGTGTACATGCCAACATTATACAAAAATGCTTGCAACAACTTTTATTTCGCATATCTCTCGACATAAGTTAATGATAAAACCTTGATGTTTTTGTTAAATGCGTCGTCAAAACCTCTACACAGATTGTATGAACAAATCCTTGCTGAACAGTACAAAAGTCTGTCAAATTTTTTTTATTATATACAATACAGTGAGAAGTAGCATTATCACGTCAGTTTTTAATTTTAAGTATGGGAAAGATCATTAGTGCAAGTCAATAGGGATTTGAGTGATATTATTATCTCTGCCTAATTAGTTTTCAGTTTACTTTTAACTTAACTTTTCGGATGGTAATACCATCCTTCTCCAGACGAAAATGTACAAATAGAAAATAGAAATTTCTTTACATATATATGTTTAGTTGGTTTGTTTATTTCTTTCTTTCTTTTTTGTATAATAGTAGTACGGACAAGACTGTAATAGTCTGGTACAATAAAGGTGAAATTGTTGATCGTCCATACCACCATTAAACAAAAAAGAAAGAAATCAACAAAACAAGTAAACATTTATATGTAAAGAAATTTCTATTTTCTATTTGTACAGTTTCTTCTGAAGAAAGACGATATTATATCATCCGGAACGTTAAGTTAAAAATAAACTGAAAACTAATTAGAAAGAGATAATAAAATTACTCAAATATAACAAAAAATATTCCTAAATCAAAATCAATACGTATTTGTTATTACCATTTTTGTAGAGCTTTTCATGGCGTATCTTTAAAGAAAAATCAAAATTTTATCATTTACCTACGCCGAAATGTATTATACATAAAAGATGTTGCAAACATTTTGGCACACTCGGTATTTCACGTAGCTAGCTTTGAACAAAATTTTGTTATACATTGCCCTATTAGATAATATTAAGATCAATAGAAATTGTGACTAAATTTATATAATAAAAGTAGGAACACAAATAAGGTGAACTTCTTCGATGGATCTAATATCAGACTGACCAGTAATTAATACCATATCTGGCAAATGTAACTGTAAGAAGAATTCTCGTCATCAAATCAGTGTACAGAGTAAGGAAACAAAACTAATTTCAGATCATTTTGAAATTTTCACTAATGAAAGTTCGAAAACTTTCTGTGCAATAAGGATTTTCTTTAAAATAAAAACTCTCTGAAAAATTTCAAGAAATTGTCATCAAATCTTTAGTAATTTATAAAAGATTTGAAATGATCTGTGTATGCCATGAAACAATTCCACATGTTTAGGATCCATCACTATCCTCGAAAAGAGCCTACGATGAATGAAAATGAGATCTTTGAAAGCATAAGATTTTTACATTCTAACTTGTTTATATTGTTTGCAGTCGAATATCATTTGAAGAATAAAAAAATAATCATCTAGTTAATCAAAAAGATTTTAAGTTCATTTCCACATAGTTCCCATGCAACTACATTCGAATTTTTCTAGATGGAAACTTTATATAGTCGATCAATCTTGGAAACTCTTCCTGATGAAATCTTGTTGGAAATTTGTAAATATATGTTATGTATTGAGGTTCTTCAATCATTCTGCGGATTAAATTCTCGAATAACACGCATGATCACTCAATATCGTCACAATGTTTCACTTTATAAAGCAACTTTCACTCAATCCAGTTATGTATGCACGAGTGTTCTTCCAAAAATTGGTTCACATATTCGCTCACTAACCATTGATTGCTGTTACTCTGTACTACAAGATGATTTATTTAACAAACATTTTGGCAATAAAATGTCGTTAATGTTTCCTCACTTACAAAAACTTAGTCTTGTGATGTTTCAAAACGAGCGATTAGTTGCTTTTCTTGATAATTTATATAATTTAAATGATCTTGTTGAGCTTCATTTATACGAACTCTTTGATATTAATAGAGAACAACAATCATTCGTTCTGCAAAAACTACTACAAGCTAATAATCATCAGCTTACGTCAGTAATAATTGACGATCAATCGAGTTGTTTAAGTTTCAACCATAATGACTGCTTCATCAATATTCTTCAACTTCGTATCAATATAAAAACAGTTGCAGATTTACCTTTTCTCTTTGCTGCCATCCCCAATGTTCATTATTTGGATGTGAGGATTGAGACAAGCGATGAAGCACCTGTGGAATTTGATAAAATAGTTATTTCTCCTCTCACTTATCTTACTGATTTTCGACTGAAATCTAGTAGACGCTGTTGGATATTACAAGAGCTCTTTATATTACTCTGCCAACTACCCATTCTAGAGCGTCTTTCACTTTTTATTTCTACCAATGATATAAGTCTTGTTCAAGGTAACACACTTCTATCAATGTTTTCCTCAACTGTTCAACAATTTCATTATGCCATATATTATTTTTATGATACTCAATCTAATCAAGATGAGGCGATTATTGCCTCTTGGCCACCTTCGCATCCAATTTCTTGCATTGTTAATGATAATTTCATATTCGTTTATACTTTGCCATGGTCTTTTACACGTCAGACGCTTTACCTGCCAACTGTGAAAACAATATTTTCTCAGGCAAATTCTGCAGCTGGCTGTGACCGTCAACCAGAAGTAGTTGAAATTGTGATTAATAGAAATTTTACTTTATCCAGATATTTGACAATTATGTCACAATATCGTCGAATAAGAGAAATTATAATATGGATGAGTAATAGAGGTGATGCTGTTGAAGGTATGCGCGTTTAACAAAGAAGCCCTTCTGAAATGTAGCGTAGCTTCGGAGCGAGTAGTGTTCAAATCAAATTTGAGTTCTGAATGTCAACACCTTAATCATGTGCCATCTACTTCTACAACGAATTTAGAGTTCAAGAGAGAATGGCTAACGAAGAAAGTATCATGTCCATTTATATGAAAACCAATTGAAATATGATAGAAATTATTTTTATTGAAAACATCAGTATCACGAATTTTCTCTCTTTAAACAGTTCTCAGAAAACATTCGAGAATAGGAGTCTTTTTTTTCCCCATATTTTAGATCATGTGTCGCCAGTTTTATGTTGTACTAAGGAGTATCGTAGTTTCTTTCAATCACGAACGTTCTCCAGCAGACATCAGTGCTTTCTAAGAAGGACGATTATCATTATGCGAACAGTTTTGGAAAGCTTTTATAATTTTCTTAGTTTTTCATTTCAAAACATCTAGATAGATCCATCCATAAGTGCTACATCTTCTCTGGAAAAATATCGTAAACTATGTATGTTTCATACTCTAAGATATCTTGAATAATCGATTGATATTTTTTGTTCATTTTCAAAGAAAAAACGATATCTTATTTGTTCAGTTTCCAAAATTCTTTTTTTCAAAGTACGATACGACCCTTCCAATTATTTTAAAGTTTTGTAGATCTCCATGTAACTTTTAAAAAAAGGCTTTTTAAGTTCATACGATATTTAAAAACGATTTCGAATTCGTTTGTAATTCTTCAAGCAGTTTTTATGCTTCACATTACATCTATTTTTACTAACAATGTAGTCTGATTATTTTTAGAAAAGCAACATCCAATACCATATCTTCCTAAACTATCTCGTCTCACTCAAATCTTTATTTATGGATCAATACCATTCGATCTGACTCATCTTTCATTGATTTTTATTGCTGCAACTAATCTCTTTCGATTAGATTTACCTTTTAATTGTCTGATGAACTTACTTGAAAATCAACAAATGTGTGATCTTTTTCGTCAACGCATTACATCAATTTCCATTGATACTGTGACTGATTCATCACAGATGACACTGAACGAAAAACACATACCCCGTATTAGTTCTATTTTTACTCGTCTACGTGATTTGTTTGTTAATCTGACGCATTTGCCGCCAAGCACTGTTGAAATATCGAATAAAGACGTTTCTACAGATTCGATTACACAAACGTTATCTTTTGAATCATGTCTGCAAAAGTGTGAAATAATAATGCCGTTCTCAAGGGAATCGATGATATTGTGTTTGTTAAGTGAATTCAAAGAACATAAACTGATTTCCCTTTGTGTGGAGGGACACTTTCATGAGGATATAGAGTCAAATGCGAAGAAATGGTTACAAGACAACACAATACTTGGAGGACAACAATTCGATGCAGCATATATGAGAGAATTGAAACAATTATTTGTGTGGATGTGACAAATTTTGTTTTCAAATATTTTTAGCAAATCTTTTTGTATAATACATTTCTCGGTAACCATGTATATTTGTCAAGTCATGATATTTTTTTAAACAAGTGTAATTTTGATCCTCTATACATATACTCTAATAAATAGACGACAAAAGCTTTCTCATAATCAATACAGGTTCAGTTTGAATTGTAAGATGAGAACATTTTCGAAAGTGTAATTCATCTGGATTTCTTTATTTTTCATGTTGTTTTGTTGTACAAGAATTATTACTTTCTAAAATGATCTGTTGTTGTCTCTCATCAATTTGGTCTTGCAATTTGAGTTTTTTGATACAATTGATAGAACTGTATTGCAACTTTAATATTCAATCATTCTTTATCAAAATCTTTGAGATCGGAATGATTACATACAGCTCGATAGGACGTTCCAATTACATCGTTGCAATGTGTTTGCCGTACTGACCCAAATCTTGTGAGTATTTCGAAATATTTTGGCTGCACACGTTTTGCAAGATTTAATGGTTTCCTCAGGAATAAGAGTGCACTCATGCAGAGTCCTTATCGAATTTAGCATGGAAATATCTAAGATTTTCTGTAGGACAAATGCTCTCTCACAAATTTTTCTCTGTCATCACTACTAGAAAGAGATATAAGTCGAGAGCCTATAAACAACTATAGTTCAGGAATAGATCTAATATTTTTGAGAAAACAGCTGTCTCCTCTGTTAAAATTGCAAACCATGAAAATGGTTGTCATTATATAATGATCTTTGTTTATGTTGTTCATTATATCATTCAATCGAATGCTTTTCGAAAATTTTTATTTTATTTTTTTAAATATTGTTGTTGATTATTTCAATAAACGAAACAGAATGAGTGGAGAAATTAAAACAAGCTAATTCTGATTGACTATTTTCAATTTTATATTCAACTCGAGGAAGAAGCAGCAGTATCTTCTGTCAAGAAGTCTGAAACTTCTACAATATGTACACTTCATGAAAAATGTACACAGAGCGGAATAAAGCTATCTTATTTTCGATGGTCTTATTTTAGCAGAAACGTGAACTTTGATTGTTTACTTGATTTACACATTCAATGTGCAATGAAAAACACATTTTATCAATTTCTACGAAATGTTACTTCAGTCTGAAAGCAGTGAGTTTCTCATTTTGAAAGAAGATTATGATATTGTTCAAGGAAAATGAAAATGAAAAATTTTTTACAATACAAAACAAAATGCTCTTACGTGTATCTGTTGATATAGAACGTATTTTGTTTGACGTTACTTCATTAGACACATCTAATGTTAAATCAGTTGAAAGTATAATAAGACAAAGTGGTACAGAAGCAGTTGTTGAGGGTACAATTTTATTGAAAATTTGAAGAGAACTGAGAGAATCTTGACGATAGATTGCAGACGTATTGGTCTAAATTGTGACACACCTTAGACTGAAACATCATTTTAAAGATTTATGTTGGACAATACGACGAATTGAACATATTCTGATCTCATCACCTAGTAGACACAATTCGCTAAGGTCTACATGATGCATCAAGTCTCAGCTGAGAAGCATTCTGACATCTAAAAATGTTTTCTCGTAAGCGAAAAAATTATTTTATGTGTGATACTATTGTCTTTCACGTTTTCCTTTGAAAGATATAAATCGGTAAAACATCACTTGATTTCAAATAAAGCACTTCCTCTTTTTTACTTTGCTGATGACATTCAATAGAGATTTGAAACAGACAGTTATGTTCATTAATCGAAAAAACACTATTTTACAGTTAATTGAAAGAAAAAATTCATCTCTTATTGTTAAAGAATGTTAAAACGTAAACGCTAGTTTATTATCTTCACTCTTTATGCGTTATTTGTCTTTGTCGGTCAGACCTACCAAACAGATAACATAGACTGTCGCTAATCCAAGAACAATCCATACTGTTATTGTTAGGCTATATGCAGCTGTAAACAATATATGATCATAATAAATCCTTGATGTTATATTAGTGTATTGAACATTTTTCTTGTTTGGAAAGACATATGAAGAAATGATTGAATAGGACAATTACGCCGCCTACACCGACAGTAAACTCCAGCTAGTAATAGATCATATTAGAATAAACGTGAGATAAATTTTAAAAAAAAGTCTCTTTTTACTTACATAAAAGAATAGCACAAATAGCTTTAGAAGGAAAATCATTGCTTGGACCATAGATATCGTCTTTCAGTTTACAGATTATCAGCATCACACTCATAACATCTGCAATTGTGAAGCCATCAATTATCGACATGGCATATGAATGTGAGAGAATTAATAGACATGGATCATATTTTGAAAAATAAAAAATATAAACCACAAAGAACTAACAAAATTAAAAATCCAACAGCCGTACTGATTCCAAAATACCATTTACTTGTATCATCCATTCTCTAAATTCTTACTTTTTTTTGAAAAAAAGAACGAAACTTTTGAAACAGAAATGAAGGCCAAAATAGTCACAATAGTACTAAATTTAATCGTTATTACGAAAATACAATATTAACACTTTATCAATAGCAAAAGAAACCTTGTTTTTTTTCTAAAATAATTATAAATGAAACCATTTCTTCACCAAAGCCAACGCAGATTGTTTTCTTTTTTTTTTCAATTTCTTTCATCATATTGATTTAACACATAGAAATAGTATAAAAGTATAGATAAGTGAGATGAGAATGATAGTGGTCCAATGAGTTCATAGGAGAAAGATTCAAAATATCGTGCAAGACATTTTGACTCTTGCTCTCAGTTAGCCTATTTAGAATCAATATTCTACACTATATAATTAGTGTATATAACAGATTAACGTACGTCGAAGATGTTCAGTGATACCTTCACAAACATTAGTTGAATCATTGTTGACTAAGTTCATCTGTATCTGATCACATTCTAAATTATTTTCGAGAGACAGATTAATTCAAAAATATCACATGATCTGAGATGTTCATACTATTCAAAATTCACATAAATAGATCTTTAGATTCTCTTTTCATGTAAAAGAAGATCTAATTTGAAAAAATAATTTTGTCTATAGTTTAATTTTTTTTAAATGTATTTGAAACAAAATAGAGAATATGAGGGAAATAATCGAAGCCAAAAAGAAAAAGTTGTTGATTATGGGACTATAGCTCGATGTTTTGTTTATTCTTTGATATATTAACGTTTTTATTAGAATTGAAATATTAAACGACAATCGGTTATGTTTATGATCGCAGCAACGATTATTTGTTATAATAAATAACAATACAACGAAACTTGTCAACTCGAGTAAAGAATTGTAGAAATATTTGTTTTTGTAAGATAGTAGAAAAGGCATCGAAATGAGAACAAATATGCCGAACACTTATCAGTCAAATTGTGAATTTCAATCATCTCTGATAAAGTAAAATCAATCATTGAATGTTCATGTATATATAAAAAAAGAATTTTCGGAAAATATTTGCTTTATCTTCGATTATAATTTTGCATAATCATAATATCATTCTACTTCCATAACAATACATTGAGATCTTGAATAAATTGTACTTTATCCTGACATATTTCTTTTTTCTGGTACTATATGTTTGAATAATATTGTATGGTATATTACTGAAATAGAATTAAAGACTAGATAATTGGCTAGTAAATATCAATGAAACTAATACTAATTCAATAAATCGATACTTTTCAATATCTATCAAAGATTAATCAAATTAAAAAATTCCATCTTTTTAAGAATTATGCATTAGAATGTAATAAAATAATTAACAATTGATTTCCTTCATTAGAATATTTTATAAGTAAAATTAAATAGAAAATATATTGAATAAAACCTGTGCTTTATTTTATTTAAGAATTAATAAGAAAATATATAATTTTTTTTTCGTTTATTCTTTGAATACATTTTAAAGAAATTTTAAAAAACTTATAAATCTTAATTAAATCGAAACAACTAATTGACGCTTATTTTATTAATTTAATTAATTATAATTTGTATTTTAAAATGATATTTTTTTCATTGATATATTTAGTTGTTACATATAATGGTTGTTAATATGAAATAAGTCAAAGAAATTATTTTTAATATCTTTTCATTTTGTTTTCAAATACTTTAATACTTTCGTTTTCAATGAATTATTATGATCAGAAAACGGCATATTTTATTGTACATACATACAAGTACTACTATTCACTAATAGGATGAAAACAAAACAAAAAAGGATGATTCAATTTTTATTGAAATCGCAACTGTAATTTGGACAAGTCATTCAATAGAATATGCAGTAAACCCCCGCTAGTGTGAAAACTCAAGGGTATATTCAAAAATGTTTACTATACAGAGGTATTCACATTAGAGAGGTTTGCGCTTATTTTCATAGAAAAGAGTTTTTATTGCCTGTATGCAGTTCAACGAGATCTAGCACCAGATTCTTATCTCTTTATTCTTTGAATTCTGTGTCTAACTTTGCTTCACAAAAAACATCTTCAATTTTACTTCGTTTAAACATTTTATTCTTGAGACAGAGATCGATCAATTGAGATTTGAGTTAAGCAATGAATGGATGTAATTGAGGACAAGTGGTAGTCAATAGAAGGCGGAATTGTTCTAGCATTTCTATCGCTTCCGAGAGCTTTGGTGGAGCAACTCGTGTATCATCTTGATTGGCTTCTTCGTCCATCTGATCGATGTCCACATGGAGCAAATGCTCCGACTCGTCATTTCATTCGTTGAAGGAGGAAATTTTTGAATCGATATCAACGAAAAAATATCCTAAACGTGACTTCAAATTTTCTCCTTTATCTATGTGGGCAACGACATGTTTGAATTCGAGTAGACCGAAAAAATGTTCACATGAGAAAAGTCATTTTAGCTTGCGGGAATGGAAAAACCCGCTCACTGTTCACTATAGGGAGGTGTTCGCTATGAGAGGTTTTACTGTATTTTCAAATATTTAATCATGCAGAGAATTGAAAAATATTCAAAGAATTTTGTTTTTTGTACCAGAGTTCCTAACGCTTTTATTTTTCTTAATAATTTTGTTAAAAAAAACACACTTCCGAATTTTCTTTAGAACTCAAAATAATTCAATGCAATTTTTAAAGTTGATTCGAAATATCATATTCGTTTTACTTGTAAATACGGCTCTAATAATAGAATTCTATGAATATAAGATGATTTTTTTCATAGTATTGTTTTTTATCACTGACAATGAAAAAGTGGATTAGACTCAAAATACTCACTTGTTTGGATTGAAACCCTAATATATAATAGTCTAAACAATTCTTAAGATATTCTCTAAGAACACTCTATATCGATTTTGATTCTAATAAGTGAAATCCTGACAAATACTTTAATCTTCAGTAATGTTGAGAGTAAAATACAAATATGTTTAACAAATATAAAATCTTAAGAATATTCAATTGATATTCATCAAAGATAATTAATACAATTTCAAATGAATTTGTCTACGTCAAAGACAACGAATAAAATAATAATATAAAGCTTCGGTATTCCTATAGCACGTATTCACCCGTGAACATGTGATAAAATTGTACCTGGTATTTAGCCTCCATAACAAAGTATTCCGCCATTTAATATTAAAGCAATTGTTCATACATCACACTTTTATTCTTTCTCAGTTTTTCTGATCTGTTTCGATTAAGTTACTATAGGTCTCATCATAACAGTAGTAATTTAGTTGTTTTTTTTTTGCACATTCGTAATAGTTCATCCTTCGAAGAAAGTATATTGCTCAGGAAAAACTTGAACAAAACGGTACATCCGTGAAACTGAAGATATATTCGAAAAACATAAAAATATCCAAGAAAGTTGAACAAGACCATTTGATATACAACAATATCAAACACAAATGAAATCCTACAGAATAATAAGAAAATTCTGTCAGATGAGCATTGAACAACTTTGATCTTCACAAAACTTGAAAAGTTTTATGATTGCAAAAATTTCTAATGATTAAATCATTCGATTGCAATAATCGTCAAGTATATCAACAAGTTTTGCTAATAATTCATTTTCTGATTGTTCTATTCATATTTTCTTTTTTGAACGAGATTAATCTGTCCGTTGACTGGATCAAATGCTAGTATCATAATGGAACATTACTTTTGTGATGAAACAAATGGTAATCTTCTACCAATGAGTCTAACAAATAAAAAAGAATGATTATGTAATGTATGTATAGCTCTGAGAATATTAACTGATGAGACACTTTTTTCATGCCAAGGCACATCATCTATAATGTTAACATATAGTTGTCGTGGAACACATGCCAGAGAAATAGACTATTTCAATATTTATGAATAAAATTTCATCAGTTATAAATATGTGTGTTTGTATTAAATATTATCTGTTCCTTCTCTCTTCACATGACTTCACCCATATGGCACATACAGTAAAATCTCCATTAATAAACATCTCCTATGTGAACACTTTTCTCGATCTTCCAATCGGTTTTTGCTGTATTCCGACCTATTTATAGTGAACATCTCTCAACTATGAACATGAGACTATTTTTCGATTCCTTCAACAAAAATAAAATCTCTATATATTGAACACATATGAATGAAAGTACGCATGTGTAGTATATGAAACAAAAGAGGAAAAAAAGAGAACACAGTGATCATTCTGAACTGGTGATAGGTCAACTCATTGACAGTGTATTCATTACAAGAACATTCGTTGGGTTTATGAAACAAAAGGAACAATGAAAATGAATAGTTCACGATAAGTTTATCAGTCACACGTGAAACAATATCCCACTTTTCTATTTACAATTTTAAGATGACGACATACAAATTGACACACCACTCAAACTCATCGAGGTAATGGAGATAATCAAACGATTGCATCATCTAGTTGCCACTCAACATTCCCACAACTATATTCTTTTACTTCTCGAATAGACTCACAAGTCTCTCAATTCTTCATTGACTTGAAAGGGTTCAAGCAGATAGTGATGTTTCATAAAACTTAAATAAATATTCGTAATAGACAAAGAAGATACTTTTTTGCGCAAATTGAAGTGAATTCTAAGACGAAATGTACGTAGTCATCAATCAGTTATACTATGAGTGCACTATATACCTATAAAAGATCAGCTAATTCAAAACCTGTATTTTGAACACCTTCCTTATTCAACACTTTTTGAAGGATCCCTTTGGTGTTCATTATAGAAGAGTTTTACTGTATATAAGAACAAATGAGAACGTTGCTACTCGTCATGGTTTTTTTTTGACATTTTTGTCGTAATGAAAGCCCTGATTTTTATCGTTATGAAAGTCCTGTCACAAAAAACCGTGACGAGTTGCAACGCTCCCGAACAAATAACTAACTATGAAAATAATATTATAAATAAAGGAAAAAAAGAACAAACTAAATTTTCTTTTATAAATTGATTAGTCTATTTTTCACTGAGATAATATTTTTCTCGGCAAGATCGTTCATTCATTTTATTCAATGACACTGACGAACACAAATAAACAATGAACATCAATATATGTATATATCATAAAAGAAAAACATATTGAGTGAAAATCAATATGAATCAGTACAAGATTAATCTTCTTGATTTGCCTAATGAAATATTACTTATTATTTTAAAAAAACTTGATAATATGGATGTACTTTATTCATTGTTTGATCTTAATAATGAACGACTTGATAAAATAATAGAAGAAAATACTTTTACTAATAATCTTAATTTTGTATTAATAACATTAACTGATGATGTGTTATCAATTTCTGATTCAATAATTGATCGATTTTGCAAAAATATATTGCCAAAAATACATTATAATGTTAAATCTCTTATTCTTAATGCATTATCTATGGAACGTATCCTTTTTGCTGCTGATTATCCTAATTTAAATAAACTTAAAATCTTTAATTTTAACGATACAATTATTTTACATTATTTTACAAGTAAATAACTTCTATATTAATGTGAATAAGGATTTAAATAAATAAGTTTTATTTAGATAGATTAACTAACTAATATAACGGGTTGCCAAGAGGAAATGGTGTGACTTGCTTGCTTCTCTCAAATCTTTAATAGCTGAGCATGCAGTTTTAATAATAAGATCATAGATAGCACTTGAAGAGTACATCCTATCTATATAGGAACAACTTTGATTGAAGTATTTATGGTAGTAAAAATAATGAAATCCAAAGATCATAAAAATGCCGCGTTGCTCAAGACTTGTCATAATTAACGACTTAAGATCGTTTATATATATATTAAATGATGGTGATTTTTAATATAGGCGGTTAAAGAAAATCTGTAGCAAATAATGGTCCTGTCAAAGTTAAATGACAATCAGAAAATGACATCGGTTATATCGTATTTTGGGTGTACCAAGTGTTATGGACAGGCGACACTCAAGGAGTTTCCTTTTAGAATGGGAAATTTTTCAATTGACAATGTGTTTTTTGACAAAAGAACAAAATGTATATACATACGTCAAGTCGGAGACTGACAGAAATAATTAATGATATTTATTCGAAAACTGTTGATTAAACCCTCCTTTATTTCCAGCTATCACTAGTGATCAAAAATCTTGAGCAACGCGACATTTTCATGGTCTTTGAATTTCATTATTTTTTTCTAAGATAGATACTTCAATCAAAGTTATTCCTATATAAATAGAATGTACTCTTCAAGTGCTATTTATCATCATATTATTAGAACTGCATGTTGAACTATTATAGATTTGAGAGAAGCAAGCAAGTCGCGCCATTTCCTCTGGGCAGTCCATTATATATATATATGTATATATATTTAGTTAAATCACCATTTCGACATATTTTTCGACAACAAATTACAGATCTTATTCTTGTATTTGAAAATAATTTTAATGGAATATCATGGAAACATTATACAACGGATGTATATAAATATATATTGAGATTTTTCAAAAATCTTAAACATTTATCTATTACTGGATTAGTTCCTGAATATTTTCCATCTTTGGTACTTTGTAATTTATCTTTAACGACTTTTCATTCTTCAACTCTTCATAAATTATCTATTCATGTTATGTTTTATGATGATCTTCTTGTTTTACTTGATGGTCGTCTTAAACAATTAAATACATTGAATGTTGTTATTATTAATGCAGAATATAATTCAAGAAATGTTTATAATATGGTAAGTTTAAACTTTAGATTGACTTTTTCAATTTAAGCAAGAAAATACTATTGATCACGATTATAAGTTGTTTTCATATTATTATTGAAAGACGTTTTGGCTTAATTACTTCCTAAATAAATCAAATATTATTTATTCGTGAGGAATTGAGCGAGTGATGAGATTTAAAGGAAGGAGAGAAAGAATACTTGGAACTTTTAAAAGATTGAGGACAATTTTCTGTCACTTTTGAGAAACCTTGAGCATATCTGGTTCCCTATTTAGGTTTTTGAAAAACTGAAAACATTCTTTTGATTTAAAAATTTCTCAAGACTTTTATCACCTGTTACTCGCAACGATATTCGGAATATTTTAGTTGGGATCACTCCTTCAATTTGAGCAAAGCTTTGCTTTTTTTCTCGATAATTTACAAAAAAGTTTTGAAAATTGCGAGAATTTATAAAAACTTTCGAAAAGATCGTCAGAATCCAGCAACTTCCCAATATTTTTTAACTTTTTGAGGCACCCAGCTACTCTCTCTCGGTTAATTTTCAAAAAAATTGAAGACAAGTTTCAAATGTGATAGAAACTTTTGAGGTAGATTTCTCAGTTGTTTTTCACATATTGTTCTATTTTTTCTAAAATACATTCCTCATTGAGCTGCTCACCCTATCTCTGTAAATAGTTCTAAAACAAATGCTCATCTAGTTAAAAGAAATACATGAGTTTCATTTTAAACTAACATCACTGATATGTTTTAAATAGTAGAATTAAAAATATTTATCTTCGTATAGTTTAACCCTTCGGGTAGCGGCGTACATTATAATGTACGTTTTTTTCGAGTTTCTTAATTTTTTAATAACTCACGAACGCAAATAGATATCGAGATGTAATTTTCAGTTTGACATAGACAAGACTTCAACAAACACATCTATATTGGAATTATATCTCTAATGAGATTACTTGCGTAGTATCCCTGATGAATTTTTGGAGTATTATATCGATAGAAGGAAAGTAAAATATTTTGTTTTTGGGCATTGAAATTAAGTTAAGAGTGACTCATAATAGTATTTTAATTGTTGGTTTTGCAATAATTTTCAATCGAATTTTGAATCACGCCCATACCACCTCCCTACAGCGATGTTCAGATTATTTGGCCATTTCCATAAAGGTACGATGATGAGCCGAAAATGACTTGAAAAGTTTTGATGAAAATATAAACAATACACCCACCATGCTGATATTAAATATAAAATTTCAACGAAATTTCTTCGCTTGGTTGAAGGATGGTACCCAAAGAGTTATATAAATATTTAGTTGTTTGATAAATCGACAAGAGATGAAATTTAGTTGAACTTTCTCTTGAAGATTTAGAAAAATCTTTTCTTTTTCTTCTATTTATACTCATTATTGTTATTTTATAATCGATGAAAACACAAGTAGGATAAGTATGAAAAAGGATCGAATACAATAAATAAAATAGAAAACTTGGGTAAGAAATAAAGATTATTAAATGTAAAAAAAACTCGATGCAGGTAAATTCTATTTTCTATAAATTATTGAATTATTCAATGAAGATTTTAATGATTTATCTTATGTTGATAGTTATGATTATCGCATAATATACCGCTTTTGTTATATGAATAATATTTTAACTTGAAATTTTCGATTTATCCCGTTATTTATTATTTCTTATCACTGAAATATTTAGGACTAGAATATAACTCTTTAGTCATCATTTGTAAGAGAGGTATATACGATAGATTTGAATAAATATATATTGAAAATGAATGAAATACTAATAGGACTACTTTTCAATGAATTATTTCATGTGATTTTTATTCTTCTCTTAAAGAATAATAATATATTGTTTTATATATTTTCTAGAATAATCTACCCGATTTGAAATGTTTCTATTTACAATATAATTGTGATAGTAATACATATTATAATCATATTTTACCTCTTTTACGTCATATGTCAAACATTGAACAATTAAATTTACTTCTTACTTTTGGAAATCAAACTACATTTATTAATGGTAAACATATTTATGATGAAATTATTGTTCATATGTCACGACTTCGTATATTTAACTTTTGTTTTTGTACATATATGCAATTGTATCAATCAATTGAACATTTATCTAAAGATGATATTCTAGAAACTTTTTCTAATAATATATATCAACAGGTAGACTGTATGATCAGGTATCGAGATCCTGATATCAAATATCATGTATTTTCATTACCATTCATGTTTGATTATCTTCCTTTTATTGATAATAAATTTTCAAATATTATTTTCAATCATGTTATAAAATTGGAAGTAGACGATGGAATTCCATTCGAACATGAATTTTTCATGCGAATTTCCTTGTCTTTTCCTTCACTTAAATTATTACGTGTTCTTAATCTCAAGCGACAAACATCAATATCAAATAATATAAGTTCAAATGATAATCAATTACAT